CTGCCAGATAACTTTATGGGGAAAAGTGGAACGTGCCCAGCAGGCAAGAAAAAACAATTCAATAAAGAATTTACTTGTATGAAAAGTTATTAACCTTTTCAAAAATGTAAAAGAGGATATGTCTTGTTGGCAGAAAATCACAAACACACAATCACAGCCACACATACAGCAGTTAATGTTTCAAAGACTTTTAGCAATGCATTGACCTCCTGGAAAATACTGTGCTGTGTGACAGCTGTAAAACTCTTTTTGCACTCCTCGTTAAATTCATCCTATGACATTTCATTTGACCTAAGGTCAGGTGAATGTATAGCCCAGTGTCTTAGTCTTAAAACTTGTTGTTTTTGGCATCTCAATAATTTTTGCTCTTTCTGTGAACTGAGGGGAATTACCATGTTGAATACTTCTTAAATCCCTAGGTCATCTTCCGGATGGTATTTCATAATGCTATAGAGTAGAAAAATAGTATGCCCTTACAGATCTGCCTTCTACTTTTACTCAATAACCTTCTGTATACATGTATGTGCACTAGCAAAACATTATGAAATCATCAGTCCTCTCATTCAAAGTTATGAAAACGTGTCGTGGCTATCTGATTGAAAAGTGTGCACACCATTGTAAAGGATAAGAGATTCATGTGAGAAGGTTAACACTGTGTGACATTCTACTGCTGTATCTTCTTATCAAATTGATATTTTCTTTATATTTGTACATTACCTGTGTAGCATTTCAGTACAATTTATTGCTATTCCCATAATTTTGACTGGCAGAATAAATAAATAATATTAAATGGCTGTAGCTTTACACCCACACGCTGGCTAGTCAACCATATACTCTGAATATGCTTTCTTTGAAAATAAAGGCTCATCTTTTTCAAAAGTCAGTCACGTGACTCTTAAATATGTGATTAGTGAATGTTGAAGAATCTCAAGGACAAATGCCTTAGCAGACAATAACAGACATGAAGGAGCCTGAAGCCAAGTGCTGCCAACTGCTTTCAACCTGCTTGTAGAGCTCAGTGCCAGCTCACTCCATCTGTGTGAAAGAAAGCAAAGTTTACAGAAACAAAAGACTGAATGTTTAGGGTTAGTAATAGTCTTTTAATTTGCTTCTAAATTCAAGGGTAACATCTCCCTATTACCAGTACAAGCAGATTGACAATGAATGGACAGACATATTCCAAGGTCCACCACTGAAATCATTTCTTCATAATTTTGTTTCTATAGTCATATGTTTTAAGATACAGTAGGTTGCTTTTACTGGAAGCAGGTCTTGTGTGCATCTTCAGAACTAAAATTCTGAATATTGTCTTTTTTCTTTTCCATGATAAGGAATGACATTTCCCAAAATTTACTTCACATATCATGTTAGAAATGACAAGTGATCTACTGTATTAATAGTCTAGTGACAAGTTGTCGATCACTACTTTCATCTTGGCTATATTATAAATACCACACTATTCAAGTCATGCTATTCTAATTTCTTATATAACACTATATACTCCAATTAAATACACAATCAGTTAAATTTGTCATAGTCAGTTTTGTATATTCAACATTTTCATTTGGAATCTTGTACGGTTTGTTGTAGAGGCAAAAGTGTTTTTAAAATTCAAAATGTTGGGGATAACCAAAAGCACAAATAAGTTTGAATGTACAGAAAAATATTGTGATCAATTCAAATATTTTTTAGTTGAGTTAATTTTAGTTGAGTTATTTTAGTCTGTAGAAAAATAATGATAATACACTATTTTCAGTATATTACAGTACATGATAAACCACACCCTTCTTTATAAAGGTTTAGAAAGATAAAGTTTAAATATATCTATAACCTGTTTTGATCTTTATTTACCTGTTGTGAAATTTTCAATTAAAGTAATTTGGCAAATTATATATTGTCATCCATTAAATGTTGTATTTTCTTAATTTAATGACTGCTTCTTTTCTTTCTTTCACTGCTTTCTAACATTGTGAACTGTCCGGAGCTCATTAATATTCATACTCCCATAAGTCAAAAGGACATTTCATAATTCGTAATGGCTTGGTGTTAAAAACATGAACAGCTTTCCTTGTAAGATACTGAATATATTCCCACATTTCAACATTTAAGCTATGCCTTATTGATGAGGCAAAACAGCTATCTTTGGCTGCTTTCTTTGATTTTAAATACTCAAAATGGAATTAGAAGTCTTGTTAGACTGTTATACTTTCTGTACTTGTGAACTTATTTTCCCACCTCCAAATCAATTTGCAGCTATTTGAATATTATAAAGTTTTGACTTTTAATTATTCTAAAAATACATAGTGTTGGATTTTAAGTTGACAATTGTAAAACTCACCACATAAACAAATAAATTAGTAAAACATCTTGATGCTGACACCCCCGATCTATTTCTTAAAGAAAACATATACAGTATATGAACAAACCCAGTTGTAAATAATGAATTGTTTTTTTCTGATAAATATGGAGATGTGTATTTTAATTTGAAATGCCCTTAAACCTTTTCATAAATAGGCTAGTATTTGTCAGTTGTATATGAGTTGGAATTATTTCTAAGTGGCTGAATGTCGGAATGGAAATGGTTTTATGTAGTAACAATGTTTAAGAATTAATAGCACTTGTTGCATTAACATCAGACATATTTGCTCAGTCCTGCTTGAATTCTCTTACCTGTGTTATGTGTAAGAGACAAAGTCTTCTTAGGGTCATTCAAAGTCACTTGCACCATATTTTAACATGTATGAAAGTCAAGTCCATATCATAACCTATTTTTGTTCTGATGTAGAATATCTGAGTGAAATAGTAGGGGGATAATATACATTACTTATATTTTATTGCATTTCCATTGTATTTAGCTTCTTCTGCAATATTCTGCTTGAGAAGTCAAATGCATAGTCATATAGAGAACAGAACAGAGTAATACTGTACAAAGCAGGAGATTACTTTCACATCATAAAGCCCAGGAAGTGGTGAGGAGCATGCATTCAAGTGGCATTTTACTATACATTATAATGCATTCTAATCACAAACAGAACACATTTAATGCACATCAGTAAAAAATGTTTACCATGCCTTCACCACAGAGAAAAACACAAGTAGAACAATAAAAATGTTATGAAAGGGAAAGCCTTTCATCCCATTTAACTTGTTTGGTTGCTAGTAACTACAGTAAATTACCTGAGGATCTGAGGCTTTTCCTCAAAAGAAGCCAGAGTATCAGCTTCAACTACAACACGGCAAGGTACTTTGTTCCAGACTTCTACAGCTTTGTAGATACAAAAGCGCCCCCTATTTTAGCTTTAATTGCAGTTCCATGAAGTTTCCACTTACCGTGCATCCTCTGAATTGGTTTCACTGTTGGTTTCTAAAGACACCCATTTGGTTAACCTTGTCAATGCCTTAGAGGATTTTGAATGCTTGAATTAGGTCTCCACATAGTCTTCTTTGTTCAGGACTGAAAAGATTCAGTTCTTTTAGCCTGTCAGTGTAGAAATTGTGGGGAAGTACAGTATATGGTTGTGTTTCAGCAACATGTGTTGTGGTGACCCAAATTCTACTCAATATTCAGAATGAGTGTTTTATACAATTTTAATCATTTGACTTTTCACAAGGAACATGCTTGGTGTTTCCCATCTGACATTTATTGTTTGTTTTTGCTTTGCCTAACACTCTAGACTGACGATTTGCCTCTTCATTTAGTTTCATGTTTTTATGGTTTCTGCAGCATTGTCTAACCCTCCTATGTTCAAATCATCTGCAAATTTAGTTTACTCACTATACAAGAATCAAAATCAGTGATATACAGTAATTTAGGAAGAGAAGAGGTCTTAATACAGATATCTGTGTTACTCTCACTAAGGGCATCACCACCAACTTGAGCATTCACCCCTTTTATCTTTACCCTCTAGCCGGTAACCAGTTCTTAGTCTAAATGCATGCACGTCCTTGAACGTGCACTTCCTGCATTTTGAAAATTAAACATTTAATTTACCTAAATTATATTTTTGTATCCATTACTTTCGTTGCTTGAGGAACTCTAAAAGGTTTTCAAACCTACCTTTTCTAAAACGTACAGTTTATTACATATAGTTATATACTGTAATTATATCATAGTTGTATATAAGATTTGTTGTACGTATATTATTGTATATCACACCCGAAGATGTTTCCATAGCCGAATCACTGTTTCTTTTCTTCTCTTTTCAGCATGGATAAAACCTTTACTTGTTCCTTTTCTAAAACTTTGTTAAATGTCCTCCTAGGATCCTATTTCCAAACAGATTGATCTCTAGTTTCTTGAAGATGGTTTAAGTACAGTGAATCACAGGGATTGATTATAAGTTGTTTATATATATATTAATTTAAAATTATTATAAACCTTGCAATGGGATTGAAGCTTGTAAAATTAAAAAAACAGTACCTTTCCAGTATTTTCATAATACATTATAAACAGACTGTGAAATATTCAAATGTGTAATAAATTTGGAGTTCTTACATTGCTCTTGGTAGTAGCTACTTATTCTAAAATATTTAAATTAAATAGGATTGTCAGTCTACATAACATTAAACAAATAATGCACTGTAAAATGAAATGAATATGCATAATTCCTGTAGAGTTCTACTAGTTATGTTTGTATAATTCATACTTGAAATCTTAGGGAATATAACACCTACCCTCCATGCATCCATGGGTATGGACTCACTATTACCTTACATTGAGATGTTTTTCTCACACCCTATTTGTTTGTCATAAAATATTTGTAGCAATATATAATAAGCACATGTTAGTGCATCTAAAATAGAAAACATCTACAATATAATGTCTCAAAATAAATTTTGGGATTAAAAATAATTTTCCTTTTATTCTAAACCAAACATTAGATTATAATACTACTGTACATCTTTCTTTCTTTTAATCGAAAGCTCCAGAAAGAAAAATGACCAGACTTATGCAGAAATTAAATAATTTTTATTATATTATTTCTTATAATAGTAAAGTTCATTGAAGTGCATGAATAAAAAGTTAGTGAAAGTACAGAAGAAACAATCTATATAGCAATGATAGGTGCATTCACTGTGCATCTTACAGGAAAAAAAAAGAGAGAAAGATTTCTCACTCATTTTGGCCTAAATCTTTTTTTTTTGTTCAGGTTTCCTGGATTCTGGATATCAGAACCTGGATAACACTGATTTAAAACCATAGGGCTTTACAATAAAAGCTAAAATATTGACCATATGATGGCAAAAAGTCTTTTATCTTGTGGGTTTCAGTCAACTCTAGCTACTCTCCGATGACGTTGGCGGTGCTGTTGAAGAGGACCTCCTTCTGGACAAGGACCGTGATCTCTCAGCACTGTAGGCAACTTGCTTGTCATAGGGCAGCATTTGAATTTCTAAGAACTCTCTGTGTTGCTGGCTAATTGTCTGGCTTATAAGTCCAGGCAGAGCCTGGATGCTCCCAATTAAGGTCTCAAGTTTGGTTTCTAGAGTGACAATCCTCTTCTCAAAATCTTCGCTTCTTTCGTTCAAGTCCGAAATCATGTCATACATTATATTTTGAGTCTGTTGTCAGGAAGAAAAAACAAAGATTTAGCTGGCATATTTTCACACAAGTTTCTCTTTTTAGAGAAAATATGGAACATACTTAGAACACAGTATGATACTGTATATAATTTTTCACAGATATTACATTTCATGGGATGGTTGATGTGCTTAGTTAATGAGACCTTTAATAACAAAGCAATATATTTCTAAATTAAAGCATACACTGTATGCAGCATCATGTAAGTTTGGCCTAATTCATGTTATCTTCATATGTATGGCCTTAATGACATTCAGCTAAAATAATTTGAGTATGATAGTTACAGTACATCTAGAAGATTGAGGAAATTTGGCATTGCAGCAAAAACTTTATTACAATTGATGCCCTTTACTGTGGATATTGGGAAAATATAGCACTCTGCCCCCAGAGACATTTTATGGAAGCAATACAAGAGATGCCTTGAATTTTTCTGCAGGAAATTAAAAATACATCTTTGGATGAAACATTGTAGCAGTTGTACCACTATGTGATTTTTGTATGTAATCCATAAAATAGTACAATAGGCACCTACAGTACTATTTAGTAAGAGTATCATGAAAGAATGGATATTCCTACATGAACCACCTGCCACCTACAAATCTGATAACTGTTGTGCAGAGTCTTAACTAATTAACAAAAACAGAAAAGCAGATCTTTTCAAAGTGCTTCTTTGTTGTATATTTTATCCGCTTTGTCTGTTGTTTGCAGATGTTTTTTAATTGTGATGTCACACTTGGAAGCACTCTCTTTTAACAGAAGGTTTTAGAACTGCAGTTAAAACTAATTTAAGAATTTTTAGTCATTGCTGATTTGACTTAGTGTTGCATTGTAGTGTAGAACTCTTTCATTTTTTTTGGTCATGTAACTCTTTCATTTTACAGAGATAAAAGTGGTGAATGAAAATACTTCTTACACAGTAATTTGTCTCTTTCACAATAGTTAATATACCGATAATGTTTGAGGGGATTATATAATCTATAACATTATAAAAGTGTAAGCATACTTTTATAAAATGAAAACATAATCCTCAAATGAAAACTAAAATTCTGTCAAAAAAGTTTTAAAATTGTATTAGAAAGAAGAAAATATATTAATAGATGTACATGAAATGAGCCAAAAATCATATTTAACAGAATTGGGTATATATTCCTTAAGGACTTATGTATTGTGATATATTCCATACATTCCAGTAGGGATTATATACATTTTATATAATTCATTTTTATATCAGGATCATCGTCATGACATGGGAAATGGTGAGTGGGATTATACTGCATGTTCTGCTGATGCCTCAAGTTTTCAACAGGAAAATTGTTTTGGCCAGGAAAAAAATAAACAAATTCAGTCTCATGTTTCTGAAGTGTACAACAGATGTCTAACACTGAGGGGTTCCATTTGTTTTATTCTGGTATCTAAACAGTTCACCAGTGAGTATATATGTGTGTGAGCATGCATATGTTTGTGTGTATATACTATATATAAATATTGCATATACTATATAATGTATACTGGTCACAAAATGTAGGGGAATGCCAGAGATTTATTTAACTTTTTATCTTACTTTGAGAAGCATATCTTGTTGGCATTGAGAGTAATGTGACAGAACATCCATATGCCAAACAATGAACAGAGTAACATTTACCTTTTAAAGTAAGTATATGTTTTAGAGCAACAAAGTATACAATGTGTCTCATCTCAGGATATACTGTACAGTACAATAAGAGTGCATAAAAATATTACTGCATGACATCAATTCCCATATTTATTCCTGTATTCTGCTGGGAAACTATATGATTGCCCCACAGCAAAATATCAGATATCTCACAGTTATGACATACTGTACAATGCAACAAACCAGTGACTTTAAGTCCGAGATGCAGCATACACCTTCAGGACAACATGTTGGTCACTAAAGCAGTGAGTAACAGAAGACAAAATATAACACTAACGCAAACCATGGGTATTCCTGTGTGTATTGCAATTCCTGGAGCCAGTTAAACCATTCATTGTATAACTCATGAGTATCACGTGCTGCTAATGATGGTTAGTGGTGCTGATGACAATCAGTAGTGGACTGATGTCCAGGAATATCATATCATGTTTATGGGTTCATGCCAGGCTTTTTCATTACCAGCCTGTAGCTCGATCTCATCTCATTTTGGAGACTATGCAAGGCTGGGTCTGGTCAGTACTGGGATGTGTCACTTCTAAAGAAAGATGTACGCAATGTTACACTGTCTTACACAGTCTTACACTGTGTGCTTTTGTTGACAAGTAGGTGGAACTCTTCTCTCTGGGCTGGAATCCCAAACTGATGTCTCAGTTTGGAGGTGTTCTGCGTGAGCTGCTCTTTTTTTTTACGAGACATAAAACCTTATCCCGAGTACCTGGTCATTAAAGATCCCACAAAACTTTTAGCAAGGGTATTGGCACTAATCTCAGAGTCCTGACTAGCGTCTGCTTTAGGATTGATCCATCTGGCCTGTCTAAATGAAACTAGCCTTTATTCAACAGATGAATGTAATTACCAAATTCTCCACTTGATCTGTGTAATGGGGCGCTGGTGCATGTAACATTAGAAACCACCTCCAGTGGAAGAATATTAACAATTTACTTTGGTCAGCAATGTCACTGAATCTGTTAGGACACCTAGGTGGATGTCTTCAAAATTTGACAAAGCAGCCGGACGTGAGTGCCGCGGAATGGCACCTGAATAGCATTAATTGGCCATTGTAGCTCTGCTCAATTGTTAGATGCATGAGATGAATAAAGCCAGTCCTACTTTACTGTTAATGGTAGACCAAAACTTTATTTATGACACATGAATGATGAGTTAGTGCAATGTGATTACAAATGTATTTTTTTCTATTTAAAATTATAACCCTAATATCCCTCAAGCTGCCTTCTTTGGTTTTGCAATAGATGGTGAAAATCCAGTATTTTATATAAGCGGCATCATGATTACTATCGTAATAGTGTAAAGTTTGCAGCTTTCTGATATTTTTACAAGAACTGTTGCTTGTGAAAATGGAAATATTATTACATACCAGTTTAAGGTTTATGTTAAATTAGCTAACATTTGTTGTTTCTTGGGCAGCATGGTAGATTGTTTAGCATTGCTGCCTCGCAGAGCAGGGGCCATTTCCTGGGGTCCTACCCGCATGGGGATTGTATGTTCTCCCTGTGGTTGCATGGTTTTCCTCCCACGGTCCATAAACATACTGATAAGTTAATTGGCTCCGGGAAGAATTGGCCCTGGTGTGAGTGTGTCTGTCTCTCTGTGTGTCCTGTGATGAACTAGTGTCCTGACCGGGGTGTATCCCGCCTTGTGTCCATTGCTTGCTCAGATAGGCTCTGGCTCCCCTGTAACCCTGTATTGGATGAAGTGGTTAGAAGATGGATTGTATTCTCTCTTATGACTGGTCACAGAATTGTACTTACCTTAGCGAGATCCACTAAAGTGTTTGCCTGATCATTCAGCTTTCGTTGCTCCATTTTTACACTTCTTAATCTAAATGTGGAATTTTGTAAAGAGTCATTAAGAAGAACCAGTTCTCTTTTGCCGTCTTCAAACATCATGCACAAATCAAACATCTGCATGGGCAATGCTTGCATTACTTTCCTAATCAGATTATTTATGTAACTGGTTGAATGAGATGCATGCTTTTTCCACACCGCAACACAAAATATATATAGCAAGGAAGATGTTTCATGTCCTCTGAGTGCTGTTTGCCATGGGTTTGAAATTTCAGTTTAAAAGGCACAGTTCTTTACCAGTCTGAGAAACAAGCCAGAAAAAAAGTCATCAGAAGCTTCAGTATCTTAGCACAGAGGCATAGGAAGATGAAAAAAAAAACTTTGGTGTTGATGATGCCTCTCTCGATGTTTTTTGGTATTAATATTCTTCCTATGTCAAAGTGACTAGATACAGGTATTAGTCCCGTTCACTCTGAAATGGAATTGATTAGAAGGCATCTGGACCTGATGGAGTTTCAGTGATAAGCGAGATTCTAACCAATATGAACTGGAACTCATTAACTTGCAGCTAAAGCCTTACAAAACAAACAAGGTCAATGGAAATCAAGTGTCTGACCCTGTAACCGTTTTGTTTTCCAGTCCACATCAACATCCGATTAATCTATTCTGTTCAGTCTGAAAATGATCATTTCAACAGTATACTGTAGGACAGTGTCTCAATTTTAATTAAAACACAAATTAGCAATTTGCTTATTTCTGCTCTGACACAAAAAGACGTTTTGTTGACACTGCTTTCAGAGAACTGAAAAGTTCTCTATTTCCTACTGATATTTAAAGTGCAATCAAATCCATTGTGAAATATGTTTGAAACGGTGAAAACATTTTAGTAATTATTATTTGTTACTATCTAGAACTAAAATGTTTAAGATTGAATACCATTTGAATGCAGAGACAACAATTAAATACTACACACTTCTGTAGCTGTCTCTAAAGCTTAGGGAGTCTGTGTTCTCTCCCAAATAGATTCTTCCCTACCAAGTTACAGATAAGCAATCTATACTGGAATTTCATAATCTTGCCAACAGGCTGCAGATGAAGAGGTCTTAATTGAGCTCAGTAGCTTCTAGTTTATTGTGACCATCCTGCTCTCTTGGCGAACATCTTGTCCTGGACAGATCACTATAAGCCTCAATAGCATATTAACATTTGAATGAGTTTGCTTAGCCTGACAATATACTGTATATATATATTTATGAACCACTGACCTTTGCAGAAATTTGTCAGTACGACTTAAAAATACACAGGTAAGAGTGATATAAATTATTTATCTTTTAGAAGTTATTTCATTTAAGTAAATTCTGTGTACAAGCACTTTTATCAATGGTACTACACAGACCTGTCCAGATCTCTGCCTTGTGTGTTGCTATAAAAATTAAACGGCATCAGCACATTATTGCTGTGTTTTGTAAATTGCACTGACTCCCTACGAAGTTTAAAGTGAGATTTAAGGTTCCCCTGTTTCCGTATAAACCAGATGTAGCCTCAGGTTATTTTAAGGGTTTATTGCATAAATGTAGCCCAGCTCTCAATCTGATAGCTGCGGATTTAGACCTTCTTTCACTGTTGAGGACAATGGAAGACAGTCTTTTCGTGTGAAGTACTAAATCTATGAAAAAGACATATCTTTATACAAAGAATTTATTTTTATTCTAGATTTTATAATTTTAAAATAGTTTTAAATTTTATTGTACTATTTTCTGTGTTTTTCTTTTCTGCGTGTGTACAATTTGTATGCCATTGGACAGCACTGTGAGTTTCTTCATTAGAATTAATTTAAATATTCATTATTACTATTACTTTCATGTGTAGCTTTGAAACATACTATAAACTATTATGACAATGTACTAATTAATAAATAGAACATTCCCACATTCCTTGGTAAATTATGGATTTTTGGATCTTAACTTATTTTGTTTGTTGCTTATTTTTAAAAAATGTTAGTGAATGCAGTACTATAGCTAAATTTGATGGCTTTATAAATAACCAGAAACTACTTATTGTATTTTACTAGAATGCAATGAGCAGATGTGTCAATATAATATGGGACCTACGTCTGAAAAAAGTGACTTATAAGTCACATTAGACATATGAAGTGAGTAAGTCTTTCCTGGATGAGAAATTGGGTGATAAAGCCATGCCCACATCATGCATTTATCCATTAGCAATATCACACCTGCACCAACAGTCCAAATAGATGCTATGTGTTGCACAGTATACAGTACAACATAGGTGCTCGTTTGTATCTATGAGGGCACTATGGGATAATGAAGAAATCAATAAAAAACTCAAAAAATCATTTGAGAGCACTCAGTAAAGTTTCACTTAATGTTTGAGCCTTCATTGATGTACAGTACTGTACAGCACATCCAGTGAAACTTAACATAACTCCCTTTTGATCCCTTCATGAACAGCAGGTCGGAAAAGTATAATATTGTCATAGTAAAAATGTCCTGAATAAAGTAGTTAGAGTTTTAATTTAATCAGTTCTGTAGAAATTCTGAAACTTACACTTTATTGCACATTATTTTAATAATATTTTGATAATATTTTATTTCCTTCTTTTAAAAAAAATACTTTGTAATTTTTATATTTTTTATAGTTATGCTTAATATTGAAATAGCTAATTTAATGTACACACTCACAAGCAACCAAAGGCTTGAATTTGTTCCCTGAAAACAGTGTTTCTGTGTTACTACATGGATGCACAAAGGCCATTCTGAGCTCCATATATCAAAAACATATAAAAAAGGAATAAATTACAGCATTAATAAGTGTAGGTACTGTATCAAATGTGGACTTCTGAGGGAATGTACAGTACATGCATGTAATGCATAGTGCAATAACAAATCCTGTAACAACTGCATTTTAATACAGTGCCTCTTATTTATTTCTAGTGACAATTAATTTAGCTGCAAGTGATGGTAAGATTTCAAACAGTGCAACATCTGCATTGTGCTTTGACAAAGAATTCCATGCTACAAGTGTGTTGTGAATTTCACTTATCACATAAAGGATCATGATTTTGGATCACATTTCCATGACAGTGGTCATATTGTTGAGTTGAAAAGAACAGGGTCGTTTGATGCATGCATAAATATTAAGACTCTACAATAATTAAGAAGAACAGCTCATACAGACTTACTTCCGAGCTCTATTGCAATTTGTTGAAAAAAGAAAGAAAATGTAAAATACACACAAAAAAAAAATCAGCACAAAGGGATTTTTAGGTAAACGCAATTATACGTTAGCAGAAAAACTGAAGTACAAAACGAATAATTTCATTAATCAAAAACAACACAAAAAACAAAAACAATCTGTAAATGGAAACAAAGTAAATTTGGTTTTAAAAGTATAATCATTATATGGAATGGAGACATTCAGATTTTTAGACTCAGGCAGAACAAGGAAAGGGAAATAATTTTATATGTATTTACACTGAAAGTCACCAGTTTTAGTTTATTGTTTCCAAGCTGCATATAAAGTGTAAAATAAGGCTTATCCTGTATAACAAAGATCAAAATCACATTATTTTACTGGATTCAATAATAAGGACTTGATAATATCATTATATATCTATCTTTATATGTTGCAATAGAAACAGAGCCCTTAAGATATGCTTTATAAATAGACCCCTGCATTCTGTTCATGCTTTCCCTGTATTAATAATCTGTGTGCATATCTACAGTATGAGCTGTTGTCCATGTATGAATGGAGGAAAATGTGGCTGTTGCAGTGTGCTGCTTTGTCAACGGGCAGTAGAGCACTCAGAAAATGCAGAAGTCACACAATGCCCATGGTGGTGAGGGGGGGTTGAAGATGTGTATAGAGGGAGTCCAGTGGAGGGATAAGCAAAGGTAAGTGGGCATCTCACTCACCCAAGCGTGCAAAAGCCTCTTTCCTCCATCATCACTAGTGACCGTGAATGTGTGCGCTTGTGCTGGAGAATGTTTTTGTGTTAGCTATTTCTGTTTTAACTGAATTGGGTTTTCTTTTAGTATTTGCTGTTCAATAAAGCATGCAGTTGCTGCACTAACTGTAGCTCTAGTGGCTGCACTTTTCATTTTTTGCAGAACATATGAAAGCAAATGTTTTGCACCAATATTTTGATTAGAATTTTCATTTTTTTCTTCTAATATGAATTTATCAATGTGATTTTGAACTTTGTATCATTATTGAAACAAATATTTCTGTTTTTTTTTTTACCTCAGACTAGGGTGCCCTTACAACATATACTGGTCTATTGTTAAGGACTTTTTGCAATCTATTTTGTAATCTTCTTTAGTGTAGGTAATGGTCAATTAAGCATGTGTTATAGCATTGTATTAGAAGCCATAGTTTACCTGCAGACAGTTATACATGTTCTATGTAAATACCAAACAACAAAATAAGATTCAAGTGCTGAAATATCTTTGTTGCATGTCTACAAATGGCCTGCATTTCATTCCTTAAGTTTTAAAATTAGGCAAAAATTAAAAAGCTACCAAAAACATCTGACCACTTGTATTTCAGACAATGTACTGTAAAACGTCAGGGTTTAGGTTTATCTTTTTGATCTTGGTAAAAACATTTACTGAAAACTACATGTTATTAATAACTTTCAACTATAACCCAAAGGAGAATTCACTGATCTCTATAACACAGACACACATGATCAGAATGTAATGAAGAATTGGTATGGTGCAATTGTTCACTTAATTGTTCTACGTTATACAGTATAAACACTGTTTGTGGGTTATTACTCATTAAAGATTATGTTACATATAAAACATGTTGTAATGATCCTGTTGGAGATGTGAATATCAGTGCTGTAGGCATTGTATAACACAAAATGATAACTATACAATATTTAAAAAAACAGAATTGAATATTTGAGAAGCCATACTCACTGGTGAATGGCTTGTAGGAATTTACGCTGGTGCTTCCTCACTCTGGCATGGTCGATCTTTTTAACCAACTTTGTGTTTTTATATATCAGCCATGTTTCCCTGAGTACATTGGCAGCTGCATTTTTCACCTTGAAGAGAAAAGAGATTGTGTTTATTTAAGAAGGTTCCAAATCTGAATCTTCATCTGGAAATGGAGAAAAACAGCAAAATTAATGCAAAGTCTAACTGACTCAGAGAATTAAAAGAATGCCTTTTGTTTCACTTTACTGATGACAACATAATTGCTCTGATATGGTTTGGCAATAGGAAATGAACCATACTACAGCAATAAGACGGTTAATATCCTGAGGTTGCTAAAAGCAGAGATTAAATGTACCGAGACTGAAATTAAATGATAAAGGGATTATGATGCACAATTTTGGCTATTTATGTTCTCTGAACTGTCATTCAGGACTAAAATCAGGAAGCACTTGTTCACATAAAGGCGTGTGGAGTTGTGAAACAAACAGTCCAGCCAAGTGCCTGAAGCTCATTCCCTGATATCCTTCAACAAATGGTTGGAAGACATCCTCTGATCGGTCAGCCACTAGCAGGCAAATGGGCAAATTGAAATAGATCTCCTCTTCTTTTTTGTAACCTTTCTTACATTCTTACAAAGAAACAAAGGGGACATTACATCTCCAAAGTGTATTGATTGGAATGATTTCCTAAATTGTTTAGAGTAAAACATCTGACAATATTCCCTTCAGAAAGAACTTTTGGCAGAACACTGCTTAAGTGATGCATCAGTGTGTAAAAACAGTCAACAGCTGAAAGGAAATCATTAATCTTCTAAACAGGGTTTAAGCTCTAACCTTTGAGTAACATACTGTATCAGATGAAAACTGAAGTCAAGTTTTCTGATGATACCAGTTGTTTACTGACTCTATCTGGTTTTAAATTGATGTGTTTAGCGTGTTTTTTTCTGCCTGATTTAATTCCCTATTACCTAGTAGAATCTGTTGCTTTTCTACAGTGTTGTTACTTTTCTGTTTATTTGAGGGAAAGTTTTTGTTATTGTTTCCACATGGCTGAAACCCAAATAAGCCAAATTATGCAACAGGCATAAAAAATGTGGTACAAAAAACATTTTATACAAATCATTTGTCTTAAGGAGAAGAAATATTCACAAATACACAGTATGTATAGAGGTTATGAGTGAAATTCAGAATTGTGCATCTTTAAATAGTGCTAGATTACTAGGAGTAGCACACATCTTTAATGATTGCTTAATAACTACATCTTTTAGAACTAGAGTCCTGTCAAAAAAATCAGTCAACCAATACTGACTAAACATAACAGGGATTCATTGAGGGATTCATTTTCATTGTTGTAGCATGAATTGTTTTTCTGACACTATGAACAGCACTGGAATGGTATAAGCTTCCTGTCATTCAGATTTACTATAGGATGCTTTGAAGCTCATGGTTCCAATTCTTCATGATGGTAAAGAGCAACAGATTATAACATGTCAAATAAGGTTTACCGTAGTCTCTGTCATCACTTCAGGATCACCATTAAATCCCAGTGTATTTGTTTTGTGTCTTAAGGGTTGACTCAGATTGAGATTCCATTGGATTGCTGTTACCTACTGTAGGTTCTTTCACAATTTGACCAGTTATTTAGATTTAGACTTACTCTCTTTGTCAGCTGCGTGTCCATCATAAAATTATGTACATGTTTTTCTGCTTTGGTTAATTCTAACTTCCTGGCAACCACAGCAACCACCAGAGCAGTGCATCCGGCTCCCTGGGACAAACAAAAACAAAACACCACAAATGAAACAGGAAACAATTGTTACCTTATGGTTGAGTAAAATTATGTTACCTGTCTAAACGCCCCTCACAGATGGTAGAAAGATCCTTCCACAATGCTTGTTAAATGTTTTATCAGTCTGTTTAGCTTGGCGTCATCCTCTCCATATGTTTATAACACTAATTTTCAACCTAATTCTACAAAACCTTCAAGGGAACAAGAAATATTACAACATGTTCAGTTCACGCTTTTTCCTAATTTACTTGGCAGCATCAGATCTTTCTCTGTCTTAAGTGGCATTGTTTTGCAAGTTTAATAAGTGATACAAATAATTATAATCCAGTAGTTCAGTTAGATCTTAATAAACGCAACAGACGACAAAAATATATAGAGCCTAGCCATGAGGACGCCCTCATTACTGGAAGGAATAATTTGCTGCAGCAGTGTAGATGGGGAGGTAGGGGGGATACGAGAGAGACGGGAAAGGAGGTTCTGGGTGTGAGACTTAGGGTCTTACCTTTCTCCAGAACTTATATTTTATAAATCTAATGGGGCAGTTTTTCAGGGTTTTTTGTAATTTTGTCTTATTTTATAATTAACAAGTTGCACTTACAACGAGCTTCATCATTATTTGCTACATAATTATTTGGCTGCATATGGTTTTATTTTAAAAAAATGTGATTATTCTAGACCACGTTTTGGAAATAAATCCCAAGAGAATAAGCAAATAAACATAAGCTACCACTTTGGCAGACGATTATGCAATTGGAATTGCAGAAATATGGCTAAAAATGATGGAGTTGAACGTAATATGAGTGGGTACATACTATTCTGGAAAGACACAAACATATCTATGTCAAAAAGACATAGAACATGTCAAAAAGAGTAGAGCTCAGGAGCACAAACTAGAGGAATGAAGCCTCAATACCTTTATGGATCAGGCTTAAAAAAGTATATAGGTCACCAATTGCAGTGATTAAATAGAATTTAACACCGTATGACCTTGCAGCAGCACAAATAAGTGCAAAGGAAACATTTTTGAAGGTAGACTTTAATTTTCACCACATAGACTGAGAAAAACCTAGAGGAATTATATCTATACTGTAGGTCAGTAGCAGAAATTGAAATGGTAAACATGGTTAATGATTGTTTTGTTAGTTTGGTTTGCCTGAGCGACTACATTAGGAAATGTTTGTACCAAACTAATTTTTTATGAAATGATAAAGACAGAGTGCGGCAAACAGAGGTGATAGGAAAGCTGACAGAAGTAATGAGACAGAGCTTTAAAGAAGTAAGATGTGACAGGATAGATTTGACAGGAATTGGTGAATAATGGATGGCAATATTTTAAAGAGAACATATTTGAAGCACAGATGTATCCCAAAATTGAATAAATCAAATGCTAAAAAATGAGTATCCCAAATGGTTCAACAAATATACAAGGGCAAAAAAGAGGGCATGTACAGTACTTTATAAAATTATTAATAATCAAGATTTAATACTAAATATAAAATTCAGAAATGTATTAAAATTACAGAATCCACTTAAATAAAATGAGTACAGTACATTGCAAGAACGGGATTAAAATAATATTATAAAGACCCGGAGAGAGATGGAAAGAAACACTACAATGGAGGCTAATATAAATAATAAAAGGTTCTCGTAGTACCACTACAGCAGAAGAGTTATAAAGAATGAAGTAAAATGTATCCAAGACAATAACTGGATATAATGGGATTTTTCCAGACAAAGAAATGAATGGGAAATGGTTGATATATTAAGTGAGTATTTCAAATGGAAATTATGGGATTTTTCTAGACAGTGATAGGGAAATGGCTGATTTACTAAGTGAGAATTTCATTTGGATGTTCACCAAGAAAGAAGCAAACAATATGCTGCTTATGTAAAGTGTTACTATTATAACTAGTATTAACATAGAAGAGACACTTAGGGAGATTCAGAAGCCACTGACACAGCACTTCAAACAGTCATAATTATAGTACCCCATGGACTGGAAAATTACTAATGTACTACCAATCTATAAAAATGAAAACAAATTAAACAAGTAATTACAGACAAATAAGTCTATGACTAAACTAGATCTAAAAAGATCACCTATTTGCAAATAGGGTCCTGGTTGATTGTCAACATCAATTTAGGGAGATCTTGCTTAACAAGCAAGAACAGCTGCTGGATACACAGCATACAATATGGTATATTTAAATTTTCAGTAGGCTTTCAATAAAGCTCCTTAAAACATTTAATTTAATTGAATATGGGGGAATGCATGTGTTTTATATAGTGTTTTCATTTTATTAACCAAATCAGAGACACAAAGAGTACATACAGTATAAGAAATACATGTTAAAAACAAAGTGATGTAATTAGTGGAATACCACTGGGATCTGTACTAGGACCACTGCTCTTTTTAATTACATTAGTGATCTGTGTTCTAGCACAGGCATTAAACTAGTAAATTTTGCAGATTATACCCAAAATAAGAGGATTAGTAAGAAGTGTAGAAGCTGCAAATTAAACTGAAAAGAGAGAAAATCCCGAACCAAACTAGGCAGATGATAGACATGTGCGACATTACATGTACGTAGAAAAATAATAAGCACTGACAGTAGGAGAGGATATTTATGAAAAAGATTTTGGTTGCCACATCATTTATATTTGAAATATGAATAAATATTTATGCCAAAAAATGAAGAGATATATAGTTAAAAGTGAAGAAATTGAAATCTAGCGGTGTTACATTGTGCTGCAAAAGACCTAATTTAGAATATTGCGTACAATTTTGGTCACCAAGTTATAAAAAAGGAATCATTCAAGAGAATAGTAACCATATACATTTCCAGCTTTAAGAGAATATAAATTGCTGACAGGCTAATGGAATTGAACCCTTTAAGTTCTGAACAGAAAAGACTGCGAGGTGACCTGGTGACTTGATACAGGTATTCAAACGTTTCTGAGGCATTGTCAAAGTCAACCCAGTGGACTTCTTCTGAAGATTGAAATTTGAGCCAGGGGATGTACAATAAGTGTAAACTACTTGAAATTGCATTTACAATTGATACATTTTTTATTGAAAGGGTTGTAGGACAAAGAAACAAGCAATTTAGCTATGTTCTCAAAGCCGATGACAAATTTCGATGGCTTGTTATTTTTTTTAAAGAAACCTCTGGCAGAGATCTTGGACCAATTATAGTAGCTGCCAGCTACCATGCAGGCTAGAAGGCCCCAATGGCCCCCTCTCATTTATTGTATAACCTTTCTTATGATCTTAATTTGAACCTGAGTTAAACTAATGTTCCTTATTGTAGACTATTGAAATGGGAGTGTTACGACCCCAAGTGTCTAGGGGAAAAGGGGTGTAACATTTAGGATAATTCTTTTGGAAGCAGGGGGGGGGGGTTGGTGAAGCAGGGTAGCAGGGAAGCAGGGTACAAAAAGAACACAAAAGTTGAGCATGTAACACTGGGGCAAGGTAATGACAAAACAAGGAAAAACACACAAACAAACGAAAGTACAAAGAAACTAACGTAAATCCAACAAAACAACAAAGCCGAAGCTATACGAAAATACACACACACAAAGCAAAACAAACCAACAAACGAAGCCGAAGCCATAACCAGGAGCAACGCGACGCGATAACCAAAACCGAACGGGACCGAAGTCAAACGAAAAGGCCTCTTCTTTCTGAAAACCTCCAGGTTATATACTGAATAAGATGTGTTCTGATTGGCTGAGAGCTAATTGATGATGACGTCATACTGAAAGTGTGGTGTAATGGTGGGCCAATGGGGAAGGGAGAACAATCAAGGGTCAACAGTGTGGACATAACAGAAAAAACACACACAGAACACACACTGGGACGTAACAGGGAGTATTAAAATATGTATTGTAAAGCCACAACAATTATTTAAAAAGATACACAGGCCAGTGTTAGATATTAAGAAGTTAAATACAAGTGCTTATACTTACAAGTGATAATAGTTATACAAGTTAAATATTAACTTAACCGTACTATACTAAAAGTTAGATATCTATAAATGAATATAGAGTTCCTTGCAAGAATATGCTGTATTTAGCTTTTGCACACTTTTCACATTTTGTTGCCTTAAAAAGTAATGACCTTTTAAAGTAGAAATTAATATTTCCTATATATTGTACACAACCTACTCTACACTTTCAGAACTAAAAATAGACAAAAATAGATGATTAATATGGAAATATAAATATGGAAATGGAAAAGTGTTGATTGTATGACTATTCAAACCCCTTGCTGTGGCAAACGTAATTTAGCTGCACAAAAATATATTAATGAGCCACACAATTAGTTGTCTGTCTGCTTGCAATAATTGTGGTTCTCATGGCTTCAAAAGTTTTAAAAAAAAACTGTCTCAGTGAGATTCTTCAGTCAGGTATTGAATTTCTAGCAAAACCCTACTATGAAGGGTTTTTAAAACAAGTCAGGGAAAAAAGTTGTATAAAGACACATATTAGGAAGATGAGAAGGTTACATTATGCCACTCAGATACTGCCTCGGGCAAGGAGGAAACTGACTGCAAATGCTACTGAAAGACCGTCAACAACTTCAAAAGAGTTCAATAAATTAGTTGGGGAAAAAATGTGCATGAAAATGGGCCTGTGTGGAATATTGGAAAAACCATTTTATATCTTGCATGGTGTTTGCAATACAGAACAGATCATTCCAAATTCCATAGATTATTCCAAATAGATTGTTTTTCTGATGTTTTCTGTTTGGTGCAGCACATCTCTTTGTCAATACCAACCTTAAGAGCTCCAGCAGGAACTTGCGAGAGGTTGAGCAAATCCGCCAAGAAGAATGGACAATATCATTAATATAATTAATTATAATTATAATTATAGAGACTTACCCAAAATTACCTGCAGCTGTAATTGCTGCCAAAGGTGTTTCCACCAAATATTGACTTCATGGGTTTGAATACTGTAGGTATTTAATATGA